CTATAACTGGTTTAGATCAAACATTAAGATGCACTAGGAATTTATTTTAACCTATAACCATTGCTGAATTTTTATAACTTGTACTATTGTCCAGCTTCTGTTTTTGGAATTGTCATTTTATCATCAATTTTGGGGATATCAAAGTTGGTCTGCCAACATTATATAGAGCCTGGTCAGACTACATGGACATGCATGTTGCTGGGGCTTTTGGTTTCGTCCTTAAGGGTTAAACTGTTTGTATGCTAACACAGTTTTGTTTGTATTTTCTAAAATGGGAAATTTTTTTTGGCACTTTATATTTTTTTGTTAATATGAAAGCAATTATAATGTTAACTGACTATGGATTATTTACTTCAAAGGGCTTTAATTGGCTTTAAAAATAGTATATATATAAATAACGCCAAACATTTAGATGGGGTTATTTAACACTTTATTATGGAGAATAAATTGCTAAGATAAAAAAATCCTTGTTTCAACAGAGAAAAACATATGTAGTTTATGATACATGACTATTTTTACACTTACTCTTTGTAATACATCTGCCTTCAAAATAACTGGAAGAATATATTGTAACCATGATTTACTGTCCTTTCTCCCCCCCCCCCTTCCACATTCCCCCCCCCCCTCCCATACTCCAGCTAATTATGTCTAATTACATGTCAACCAGCAACTAGGAGCTCATTCATCTATCATTTCTCTGCTGTAGTCAGTTTTTCTACTCTTTAAAGATGATTATTGTTCCTTCACAAAATTTCACTGATGACTAGCAGTGGAAAAAAAACCAAACATCCAAGGACATTTTAACTATAATATAACAAACATATTTTTGGGGGAATGAAAAAACTACAATAATGTTGATTGATTGGGAAAGGGATATTCAGATATCCAGACTTGTTTAACAATTTCTTGTTCAATTGTAGATACTATGTCTGTATTTAAACAACTTTCCTCAGTGACACATAACACATTTGAGCCGCGTCACGACAAAACCAACATAATGGGTTTGCGATCAGGATCCATGATCAGGATCCATGCTATTCGCTATCAGTTTCTCAACTTGTTATACGGTTTGTAAGCGAACAGCATGGATCCTGATCAGACTGCGTGGATGCGCAAATGCATTATGTTGGTTTTGTCATGACGCGGCTCATTTATAACATAATAAACAACAAAGAAAACCTCAACAAACACATGACTATTTCAGCACAGCCACAACACACTGTGCTGACAGTTGCAAAAGGTTTATTTTTCATGTTCATTTTTAACCTGCTGAATTCCTTCAGTTCAGTCCTTTTTTCTATTATTAATATTATAAAGAATATGAAGAAGAAAATTAAGTCAGCCAAAAACAGTATAGAACTTGGTTTTAGTGCACCAAACTGCAGGCTAGCCTGGCATGATACTGGCTGACAAAGGTTTACCACTTCAAAGGGTCCAACTATTTAAGAAAAAGGGACAACTCTATCATAACATTCAACACAATTCATACAGAGTTACTTTTTCCTGTTTGTCTATTTAAATCACTCGGTCATTTTTCCAATATTTTCCAAGCCTCCTTAAATTTTAAGAAAAATTACAAATTACGGGCATAAATCACAAATAAATGAATCAATTTATAGTAACAAACTTAATAAACTCCCACTTCTTTAATTAATTAAAATCATAAATTCATAGGCTCTTTTCAAGTTCCATACACAAGATAATATTTCAAATTAATTAAATTTCTTATTGATTAAATGATTATGTTTCTTTGCCCTAGCAAATTAATATTGCAGTAACAGTAATATTTCAACCAAGTAAAGTATCAGCTGCGATTTACACTTGAAAAATATTATATTTGAACACTGTGCACACTAAAAATGACAGAGTTTGTGTTTTATAACATTTACTCCACTAAATATCTTTAATGGACTTGTGCATCTTTCAGTGTAAACAAGTCTGTCCTTCGTTTTTAGGGAAAATTCCCCCCCCCCTCCCCCACAGTATAGGTCATATGGCGACTTTTCAGCTTCACTGGTGGAGGAAGATCTCAGGTGCCCCTCTGTAAATTATTTCTGGCACTGGCACCCACAAATGTTCTGTAAGCTAGCTGAATGGCTTTCTTACATGAAGAATCTGAAGACTAAGGTGTTGCTTAAACCTACAGTAGTGGGAGGCAAGTGGTTTCAAGTCAAGGGCCTTAACCACTTGGCCACGGAAATTTAAAAAAAAAAATATTTACTGAGTTGGGGCCAGTACCCATCCCCCTACTTCCCTTTCAAAAACTAAATAATCGCTATCAGAGTGACTTCTCCGACTATCCTCCCACCACTTAAAACCATGCAAGATTACTGGGAAAAATGAAAGATGTTTCAGGCGAGAGGACCCGAAATGTTCATCTCACAATATTTCTCCTCATGTCACTATACCACAGTAATTTTTCATTTGAAACTGAGATGACTTCTTTAACAGTTAACGACAAGAAAAAATATGCGCCAATGTATTTTGATGTTTACGTGATAAATGCACCTGTCTCCGTCACATTACGTATCATTAAATCATCGGGTAAAATTACAACAGCCAGGGACAAATTGATGAGAAGATCGATCGTGCTTGAAAGAAGCTAGTAATTGTTCTGACAAGCAGACGGCATACGAGACATTTTATCTCTTTTTTCTAACGCTTTAACAAATTTCTATTTAGGAAAATTTGCAAAAAAAACAATTTGTCACAATGCATTAAATATATACACATTCCACAGTTACTCTCTACAAATGAGCACAAAATACAGACTCCATATTTTCTGCACTTCCATTTACCAATAGCAATTTATATATTTTTTTTTTGGATTTGATTAATTCACAAACATTGGCTGTGAATCTTATCTCTAGCATAGAAATGAGTTGCAAATGGTATACAGGGCCAAATTTTGAGTTTTAATCTAAAGCATTTCTTATTTAACTTGTCCGTAGGATATTTATAAAGAAAATTCTTGAAAATTTCCACTTGTCCGTAGAGGCCGTGGGACAACCTGGGCAATACAGAAACTGATTTTGCCGCCCCTGGACTATATCTTTAAACAAGTTAGCCTGCATTTTTATTTTGCTTAAACCGATATTTTGTTGGCATTTGAAATAAATTCAATAAAAATCTTTTGGTATTTTTCATTTTGTTTCCTAGCTACACTATGTGCACCTTTGTCCCCCTACCAAGTATTCCCCTCAACTCCCCCCCTCTCCCCCAAACACAGAAGCATTTTGTTTTTTCAATATCTTCTAAAAAGTAGTGAGATCTGCCTGACAGTACCATAACATCTGCTAATGAGTCAACATTACTCAAAACAATTCTCACAACTTTCTCTTTATTGTTACAATCAAAGTTTTAAATGAATGTTTCCTGCAGCCATGCAGAAAATTAAATTCATCCCTAAAGCATAAAAAAGCTACTTCACTTTACTTAAAAGTAAAGAATGGATTTTTTTTTTTCAAGTTCAAGAAACAATTAGTTTGAACTTCTTCTTTGAAAATGATCATTCTACATGAACATATGATTGTAGAAAACTCTACTTAAGAATAGGACATAAAACATTATATTTAACTAACTATCGGGTTGATCAATTGATCTGTAAGTTCCCTAAAATATTCAAGCAAACAATACTTTCATGATCTAATTAGTGTACAATAACACTGTTTCTGGAAACAGTCATTATTTTTGTGAACTTATAACAACATTCTGTGATCTACTATACTGAATATATTCATATGTAATAGAAAAATAGATGTGCTTGGAATAATTCTATAATCTCACAACATAGAAATCAAATTCTAACATGCTTTACACTATTTCCCTATCAAAGAGACAGGGCAATCAAGTGCATTATTACACCAAATATGCAGAGCATGAAAAACAATGCTAACACATCATATGATGTCATATATGATGTCAATAAACCAAATTACTTCTATGCTCAATATATTTCTATCAATTCTCTTTTTTATAAGCATGTTAGAAAGGAAATAGATATTAATTTTTCTTGCATTATAGTGTAATAATGCACAGTTTATCATTCAAATGTTTTGTAATTAATCACTAAGGCCTATCAGCCTTTGTGATTATATTCATTATATTCATGCGCATTTGAACTTAAACCATGCATTATTATACAACAATGCACTCAAAATTAATATTATTTCCTAAATAAAATTTTCAAAAATTACATAAAGGTAACATTATTAAAATCTGGAAACAAAGTGATCCCTCGGAGGCATTAATCACAACAAAATAACATGAAAATTGCAGACTTGATTGATTGAGTCAGTACATGAGGGATTATAAACAAGTGTAACATCCCTGATGCCCACTAGCACTGGTTTGGGCAGGACTCAAGTTTCAACACTGGAGATCAATGATTCCGAAGGACCAGAAAAATATAACAGAACTGAAGTGAAAAAAACCAAAAAAACCCATACCCGTCTTAATTCTTATAACTGCCCACATGTTTCACATTTAAAAGTTTGACTATATTTAGCAAACCTTAACAATAACATTATATTGTACAATGACATTGCTTTGCTTTTATATTACTAAAACTTGTAAAGATCATTAACTGAAAATGTTATTGGTATGTTATGCACATGGGTACAGAAATAAGACTCAATATGGACTGAAGTTCTAAGACTCTTTTTACATTCTTTATCTTAACTGGAATTATTCTTGAGAAATGTGAATATTTGTTTGAAATGTTGTAAAAATTTTTTATATAAACTCAAGATTACATCAACTCTAGATTTATGTGTCTGGATTGTATGAGGAAATTGCGAAGCATAAGCAAATACAATATCAAATAAAATCATTTGCATTGTTAAATATCTCATATTCTTATACAATTTCTTTACAAAACATCAATTTCCTTTTAATTCTTCATTTTCAAGGGTAAATTTCACCAAAACTTTAATTCTCAAGCTTTTTTTAATGACAAATTCCATATCAAAATAAAGAAAGCCGTTAATTTGTGAACTTACCCTTCGTAGAACCAGAGTGCCGTCATCATCATCTTCACGATCTTTAAGGTCGCGGTTCCGATTCTCTCGGTTCCTCTCCTGCTCATGACGGGAAACCGGACTTGGTCCAGGTGGTGTTTCAACTTCTATAAATAGAATATGATCATGACCTTAATTGTCATAAATGACACATACATGTGTATTTGATTTTATATCTTGTCTTTGTTCATTTATTGAATAGAATAGTCATCATTATAAATGACACATATTTGATTCTATATCCTAAAAGCATGGCCTAGCCTTTGTTCAATTATTGTGGTTTCCATTTCTAAGTCTCAGCCACACTGTAATGGTGATGGTCATACAGTGGCTTTCAAGCATTTACTGCTAGAGAGGATAACCTAAGATGTTCCTCATAAATTATTTCAATCATAAACAAGTACTGGAGTAGAACCATAGACACAGATAGTATGACGTGCCCCTGGAAAAGTAAATCATTACTTTTGAGTTACTTTGTCAATTACTTCCTAAAAACTGGCCCATAACCCTTTTATCAGTGGGCTTGTATCATAGACATGAGATGTAAACTTTTAAAACAACAAGCATCAATATCAGTGGTTTTGTTATTAACCAACAGCAATAAGGCAGGTCACACAGCACCACTGTAAATGCTGGCTTGGTGCTTAAGAGTGTGATATACAGGTACAACATACTCGAAGCTGACACTCGAGGAAAGGTCGAAAAAAAGATTTCTACCACTTACCTTCATGTACAACCATGGAAGACAATGTTTCTAAAGTATCTTTATTGTAGCCTTCTGGTGGCCTGAAACATTGAAATAGTCAATTATAATTAATTCTCTACTATAATGAAAAGATGGTGTTTTTTTAAAGCATACTTTTAAATAAATGAGACCCATTTTGTTAAAATTTGTTGACTGCTTACTGTGTTTTAAATAGGCAATCTTGAATACACTTGATTTTCTTACATTTTTTTATTGTTTTTTTTTTAAATAGGTCTTTAAAACTTTACTTTGAATATGTATGATGTAAAATATGGGCACATTAAATGCTGTGACAAGAAAATATTACATTGTTTATGTCTTTATAAACTGATGATCTCAATACATGATGACATACCATTAAATATAGCAAACATAAAACCCATAAGAACAATGTAATGACTAACTACTAAATTTTAGCAAACAAAATACCACACAAGTAATGTGAATTAAAAATGCATTACAATTCATGTTTGTTCACTTCTGCATTTCCTTCTTACTAATAACTTGTAAATCTCAAATTAAGACATCTTCTGCCATCAGTTAACTTGTTTCTGTAAGTCAGTCTAAAACAATTTATTCCCCTTTTTTGCCACACTAAGACCTAAAATTGATCTCTTTCCAATATGTAAGAATTTACTTGGTCTAGCTAGCAGGGTACCAGTAACAAATGTTACTTACAGTAGTCTAGCTGGTTCAAAGGTAAGCAGGGTACCATCATTACAGTAGGCTAGCTGTTACATGAAAAAGCAGGGTACCAATGGCAAATTTTACTGACAGTGGTCTAGCTGGTTCAGAGGCAAGCAGGATACCAATGGCAAATTTTACTGACAGTGGTCTAGCTGGTTCAGAGGCAAGCAGGGTACCAGTGACAAATTTTACTTACAGTGGTCTAGCTGGTTCAGAGGCAAGCAGGGAACCAGTGACAAATTTTACTTACAGTGGTCTAGCCGGTTCAGAGGCAAGCAGGGTACCAATGGCAAATTTTACTGACAGTGGTCTTCAGAGGCAAGCAGCAGGTACCAGTGACAAATTTTACTTACAGTGGTCTAGCTGGTTCAGAGGCAAGCAGGGAACCAGTGACAAATTTTACTTACAGTGGTCTAGCTGGTTCAGAGGCAAGCAGGGTTACCAGCAACAAATTTTACTTGCAGTGGTCTAGCTGGTTCAGAGGCAAGCAGGGTACCAGCAACCTTACAGTGGTCTAGCTGGTTCTGAGGCAAGCAGGGTACCATCACGGTTGATGACAACTTCCTCTTCTTCCTCCTCCTCATCATCGCTGTTATCATCTGGTACAAGAACGGTCCGTGCAGGAGGTCGTATCTCCGCACCGAGCTCGTTCAACTGTGCTGCCAACAGGTCAAGGTCCTAATAATACAAGACAGAAATATTAGCTGGTCATTAAAGGCTAATTAAACTTTAGAAATGCTTTCTCTCAAAAGCTTTTAAACTTTGATGTACTTATGTAGTATCCAAGAAGTTACTTGGCTAATTACCTGACCCTTGCTTTTTGGCATTAAGTACAAATTGGTATGGAAGTCAATATACTATTTTGTTTACATTTTATTAATATTATGCCAAATCATATCACATTTATTGCTACTCTCTTCAGGTAACAAGCATTTTACATTCTCTAAAACCATTATTAAAAGCTCTTGTGCTATCCTTTTTTTTATGTCATAAATTTTTCTTTACAGCTCACTAAGTATATTCTTCAATTTATTTATGTTTGACATGTCTTTGCCATGATTTCTGTCATTTATTTTCTTCCAAAACTAATTACTTGTGCCTTGAACTGTACAAAGGGTAAAGAGCTCAACTAGTGCTTATTGATCAAAATATGACGTCAAAAGATGTATGACGTCAAATAAAGACAAGGAGTTAGTTGACGCAAGTGTCTATAGATGTGGGCAAGTATCTGTCACTTATCACAACATTAGAAACTAGGATTTAATTGAGAAATAAGACAATTTAACTCAATTCATTTTTCTTTTGGTTGAGTTTCACACTGCACCAACATTGTAAATGTCCTATAGTGACTTTCCAGCTTGACTGGCGTGGACAGACTTCCATGCATTTTTTTAAGAAAAAATGAGTGGAATCACCGACATTCTGTTAAATAGTGGGAAAGCTTCATCACATGAAAGACTCCAAAGTCCATTTTGGGATTTGAACCCAACACTGATTAGGGGTAAGCGGTTTGTAGTCAATGACCTTAATAACTTGGCCACAAATGCCTGAGGTCATTTTTGATAAAGTTCATAATACTAACCTCTGGTTTATTGGAAGCCGGTCTGTAGTTACGAGCCTCTGGATGTGGCGACCCCTGGTGCTGACCCCTGGAATCTGGAATCACTAGACCATGAAAACAAACAGAAACAACATCCACTACACTTAAAGCAGCTACACTACAACATTACACAGGTTAAAGCAAACAACAGGTAAAATAAGGGTTACATAATTATACATTTATACAATCAGGTTAAATTATTGCAATATTTAGTCAATTAAGAGGTTGAATTTGGTCATAACAGGTGTTAATGAGCATAAATTTTTTTATCATTCTTTAACATTCATCAAAGCACTGCATGCATTGCAATCAAATATGCTAAAATTTCATTTTCATTATTATCTACCAAAATTTCCTTTCCCTAATTATATAAGAGTTAATAATACTGAACTATAAACTATCATGTCTTTCTTGACTTAAAGTGTTAATTTATAATTGTGTTTACAAAAGAAGAAAACTGGAAATTGTTAACAATTTGATAACTCATATTACTTATTATTTTTTGGTGATTAGACAGACAGGCTTACTAAAGCTCCCCCTAATTTAAATTTACATAAATAGGCTTAAAAATTACTTATTATCTCCCTTAGGGGCAACTCCATCACAATTTTTTTTCGCAATTTTAACAAGTAAATCTTTATTGATTCTTTTTTAAAGAGCACAATATACAAATACATTTCTCCCTAAACAATGCTTTCTTGATTACATGTTGCAGCCATAACTCCATCAATCATTTCTAGCCATATCACATGCCAAGCCAGATTCAATTCTTGACATTCATAAATATTCTCTTGCTATAAGTATACATGCAAGCAAGACTTCACACTCCTTAAGCACATCCCTAATAATTTCAAGCAGGAGGCAAAATAAACTAACATCAAAAAACCAGTCTAAGAATTGCATTGGTCAAATTTGAATTCTCCACTAATCAGATGCAAGAACACTTGCCATTGGTTAATTTTGAATTCAGACCACAAATTTTACCAATAAGATGCAAGAATCTTGAAAACTGATTCCTAATTATATTTTTAAAGTGTTGAAACCTTTATAAGTATGTATTATACATGTTTATCAATGTGGTTATACAATATAATAATACACACACATATTAATAATCATTAAGACAGTTAATGAAAGGATAATTATGTATGATAATAATGAAAAGTTAACTGTATATAAAGAGTTGTGACTGTGTTGATTCTATCAATCTATTATCTGTAAGTATTCAAATTATTTGTCAGAGACAATGCAGTTTTTTCATAGGTGATATAAATAGGGTCATACTCAATATTTAAGAAATATCTGTTTAATTTCATCACATGTTCAAATGAAAAGCAATAATTGCTTTGACATTACTTCAGCATATTTTAGCCAATACAAATGCCATACAAAGACACAAGCATAAAAGCTTCAGCAATGAATAAATATAATCTGTAGCTACATGTATTATAAAGTGTGTAAAGCTATATTTTGGTTGTTTGAAAATCAGCATAGCTTTTGTTTGTATGGTGCATTAGATCCTTGTTGTTTTTAATATGACAATATGATGTTTGCCTTAGTTTGTCTAGTTTTATGATATAAGCAAATGTGTGAAATCATGGCTATAGATAATAATGGAATATTTTGTTAGGTAATATTCTATTCTCTTTACCTATAATTTCATTTAGTGTAATGATGATGATGATTTTCTTTAGACTGGGTGGTCAAGGATAGCCTACGAAAGTGCAAGCACTTTTTTCCAGTAGGGTATTCATTGAATAGATCCCTTGGTTCTTTTACATGCCCAGGGTATAGCATTGATACATGCTAGGATTACCTGGGTTTCTTACCAGTATACCTATGGGTAGAAAGGAAACACTGATAGTCTCTGAAAAATCCCGAGGGTGTTATCCAGGATCAAACCTGGAACCTCAGGAGTGACAGTCAGTGGTCTAACTAACTGAGCTATTGCGCCACCTTATAATGTAAGTGTGAAATTATTCTTTGTTTAAAACACTTTTAAGAAATGACTTTTAAAGGTATGAAACCAAAACAATTGTTTAGTGTTAAAATAATGTACCGGATATAGCTCTAAACACTTTACATTACTGATATTTAGCATTTTTTATACTTTAATTATCGCCCCCATCCCAATTTTTCTTCATTTTTTTCTTTTTATTGTTTAATGGCTCACTAACACAATTAATTTAACATGGTGCAAAAAAAGGAAAGGCGATTTTAGCTAACCTTGGTTGTTACAAACTAAATCAAAATCACCCCCCCTGCTGGAACTAAGAGATGCATAGACTCCAGTAATTCAAACCCATTTAGCCACCTCTGACATTCATGCAGGGCTAAACGGTGGCTGCAATGCTGATGCCTCAACCCTAAGGCAACCCCTCAGCAACAAAGGGGTTGACCCCATTCTGGAAAATGTAACGGCCCCTGAGTTGTTTATTACAGAATATACAGTATATTACTTGAGTGAAAATATCCTTGCCATCAAGGTTAGCATACAGTATTTTCATTCAATATCTCAACATTCTATGTATTATTCCCCGCTTTATTAATTTTAAAGACAGTATTGAAAAATAGCGAAAATAATGAAGGGATATTGCACTATACAAAACATCCGTTAAGCTTAAAGCTATTATGAATTTTTTAGTAAGATGTGATTATTTTCTGTGCTTCTATTTATCTGATACGCTGGGTTATATACAAAAATATCAACCTTCGCCTTCCGATTCAGAATCTCGTTCATTTTCCGACCCACTTCCTTTTGCCTCTTCAGCTTTAGAAAAACGTGTACGCAAAGTTTTCAGTAAAAGCATAATACAATATGTAAATTGGGTTATGAATAAAAAGACCCCGGAAAAAATTATATGTAATTTTTCTATAAATTGGCTCCAGAGGAAAAAAGACATAAATCCTTGACTAGGTCCACTTTGAAAATAAAATGTTGCTTCTATTGAGATTTCTAGACATTTGGACCAATAACAAGATACATAGTAAAATTTTTGTACCGTTGTCACTTGATAGCACAAATTCTGCCAACACTGATTTTTATTTTCTTTAATTATGTATCATAAATTTCACTGTACAGACTGAAAACAGGCAAAACGTAGTTCATTATTTCTTTTCTTTTTTTGCAAATGAAAAATAAGAATCAATAATCTAACTCGTCTAAAAATTCACTAAAACCCTGCTAAATTGTATAATTCACTTTTCCTGACTTGAATTAAGAAGAGTCCATGTATAATTAAAGGGGTTTAATTATCGATTATCACAATAGAGTAGCCCCCATTTCAGTGCCTGGTCAGACAGCACAGATGCAGGGCCTTTTTCAGCTACTTCTGCAAAGGCCCCTGGCAATAATTTCAATAATTTATCAGGCATTTTGGAAATTTTGATAATTTTTTTTTAAAAATTATAAAGTTACTAATACATGACTTGCAAGTTTTTAATATGTGTACGATCATATAACCTGTCATATATAACCTGATCATATAATCTGTCATATATAACCTGATCATATAACCTGTCATATATAACCTGATCATATAATCTGTCATATATAACCTGATCATATAATCTGTCATATATAACCTGATCATATAATCTGTCATATATAACCTGATCATATAACCTGTCATATATAACCTGATCATATAATCTGTCATATATAACCTGATCATATAATCTGTCATATATAACCTGATCATATAATCTGTCATATATAACCTGATCATATAACCTGATCATATATAACCTGACATATATAACCTGATCATATAATCTGTCATATATAACCTGATCATATAATCTGTCATATATAACCTGATCATATAACCTGTCATATATAACCTGATCATATAATCTGTCATATATAACCTGATCATATAACCTGATCATATATAACCTGACATATATAACCTGATCATATAATCTGTCATATATAACCTGATCATATAACCTGTCATATATAACCTGATCATATAACCTGACATATATAACCTGATCATATAACCTGACATATATAACCTGATCATATAATCTGTCATATATAACCTGATCATATAATCTGTCATATATAACCTGATCATATAATCTGTCATATATAACCTGATCATATAATCTGTCATATATAACCTGATCATATAATCTGTCATATATAACCTGATCATATAACCTGTCATATATAACCTGTCATGTTTTTATTAGAAATAAGTAAGTACATTCCAATTTTTCTTGGATTTAGAAACAATTTGATTATGACTGTACAGTAAATACAGAAAACAGATTACTATTGAAAGCATAACCCAATTTACACTTTTTGAATTTTGAAGAAGTAGATATAGAGGGAGGTAAAGTTATGAAACACATGTACAATATATACATATACAATGTATATGTATATTAATTAACATTCAAATTTTATAGGGAAATTTAGCAACAGAAACAAAGGAAGAGAAGCATGTGGAATCAAAGGGATACAAAATCAACAGCCATACATCAATATACAAAACTATAAATCAATATTCAATACATTTACATCAATATACAAACTATACATCAATATACAAAACATTTACATCAATATTCAATACATTTACATCAATATAAATCAGATTAATACACAGCAATATCCAATACAATAAATTACAATGCAATAAATACTCAAGTTTATAATAATTCTTCACATATCCATCCACTGTTAGGACATAAAGTCTAAACACAGATGAATAAATATAAGAAGGAAAGACAAACAGTGCCTGAATGTTTTATAGAAATTAACCTTAATATTTCAATAAATTTTCAAAAGAGCAAATTTCATTATAAGAACTAGAAATGTGTCCATAGAACGTGGATGCCCCAACCCCCACATTCCACTGTTTTGTCAGCCTACAGAAAGATAGCAAGATAAATGTACAATCTATATGCCTTTCCCTCCCCCAAAAACCCTTGTTCTGGTCTTTCATTCATATTTTATCCTTTAAATGCTGTTATGGATTTGCCATGCTTTGAATTTTGAACAGTCCATTAAAAGTTTAGGGATTTCAATACAATAATATCAACAGTATAGAGCCTGGTCAGACTACAAAGATGTGCAAGATGGTCTGACTCTATCCTGACTGCAAAGACTAATTATTACTTTCTGTACCAGCAGGTTTGCGGTTAAATTAAGGTCATTTGTATTCTACAATAAAACCAGTATACCTGGCTATAAATCTATTCAAGAAGAAGTTATTTCTATATTTCAAACCAACAGAGTACATATCCAGATGTTTTATTTCAGAAACTTACATACCATAGGCTAACAAACGGACACTGGTTGTCATTGTATAACAACAAACCATAAAAGAAATAGGAAATGAAAGAATTCCGAAGTTTAGATATTTTTTACTTCAGAAAACACCCACTTTCTATGAGATTGTGGATTTCTTTAGAGTAATGAAAAACAATTTGATATTTTATACAAGTTTATATCAATTTTACTAAAGCTTAAGTCATATCTTTTAAGTGTTTCTTATTATAAATCATTTTAAAATGAAGAATGAAATGTAATTTTGTATACATACCTAACAACCTTGGCTGTATTGGTTTATTAGATATCTGTTCTTGAACTGCATGTTTGGTTGGGGGCTGAAACAAAATCAAGTGATCATTTATAAACAGAGACAACTTTTATGGTTAATACCAATTTGTCTATGTTTATTAACATTAAAGGTAAGACAAGAAATCAGTACTTAGATTGGCATGAATATGCCTCATCTTAAGCATATGTTTGAATACTCAAGTACATAACTATAAGTGTCAATAAAGAAATTCAAACTAAAGGTCTAAAGACATCATAAATCAAGTATGCTTATATAATCAAGACAATCTTCACAAATGTAAAATTCAACCTAAAGCTGGCGTCACCTTTAGCATATATAGTCAAAGATAGAGATGAAAAATGAAGAAATAAAAACCTGGAATTGATTAGAGACCGGTCTTTGACCATGAGCCCCTGAGGACGGTCTTGGTTGTTGTTGTCCCTGATGGTGATGATGATGATGGCCATGTTGTCTGTCATGGTTACGCTCTGGTTGCCGTGGTGGCTGTTGTTTATTCGGCACTGGTTGTGGATTTATGTTTGGTACAGCGTACGGTGATTTGGACTCTCGCTCTTGAATCTGCTGAAAGTTGCGGCGCAGTGTCGACTCCCCAGGCCCGATTTGTAAAATAGAACTGTAGATAAAAACACATTTATAAAACAAAGTTGCAATCTTCTCACCAAGTTCATATTGTATTTATGTATCGAAGAACAAGAGTTTAAAATTGTAGTATAATTAGCTTCAGGATTTAGTGTTAATGATCATGAAAAAAATTTCTGGATGACATTAATGATTTCCTTTATTTACATATAAACATTTTTTCTCTTTTTTTATATAGGAAATTATCATTAATGACTGTTCTTAAACAATAAATTAGTTAATATAGAATGCAATCATATTTTCCTATATAAAATTGGGCAGCTATAGGGTATATGGAGTAAGCAATGTAAAATATCTGCCGACCTGCCTATTTGCAAGACAAGTAAAACAATAACCAACCTGTCTTACAGATAGACTCAAGGAGTCTATAAATATATATAGGACAATCCCTTAAATCACAGTGACAACTTTCTGATACTTGTAAAAGATTAAATTTTCCTCCACTTTCTATGAGTTACATATATCAACAGCTTGGAGTTCAATGAGATTTTAACTAGGCCCCATTCAGTTAGAGAGAGATTGAGAAAGCTCACCTAGGTTCTCCTGGTTTTGTTCCATCCTCCTCCTCCTCGTTATCACTGCCTTCGTACTCATACTCTGTGTCATGGTCCTCAACTACAACATAACATGTCCCTAATTAGATAACACACTCATAACATGTCCCTAATTAGATAACATACTCATAACATGTCCCTAATTAGATAACACACTCATAACATGTCCCTAATTAGATAACATACTCATAACATGTCCCTAATTAGATAACATACTCATAACATGTCCCTAATTAGATAACACACTCAAACATGTCCCTAATTAGATAACACACTCATAAACATGTCCCTAGATTAGATAACACACTCATAACATGTCCCTAATTAGATAACACACTCATAACATGTCCTAATTAGATAACACACTCATAACATGTCCCTAATTATATAAACACACTCATAACATGTCCCTAATTAGTTAACATACTTATAACATGTCCCTAATTAGATAACACAACTTTCATAACATGCCCTAATTAGATAACACACTCATAACATGTTCCCTTAATTTAGATAACACCACTCATAACATGTCCCTAATTAGATAACACCCTCATAACATGTCCCTAATTAGATAACACCACTCATAACATGTTCCCTAATTAGATAACACACTCATAACATGTCCCTAATTAGATAAACATTACTCATAAACATTGTCCCTAATTAGATAACAAACACACTCATAATATGTCCCTAATTAAAGATTAACACACTCATAACATGTCCCTAATTAGATAACACACTCATAACATGTCCCTAATTAGATAACACACTCATAACATGTCCCTAATTAGATAACACACTCATAACATGTCCCTAATTAGATAACACACTCATAACATGTCCCTAATTATATAACACACTCATAACATGTCCCTAATTAGTTAACATACTTATAACATGTCCCTAATTAGATAACACACTCATAACATGTCCCTAATTAGATAACACACTCATAACATGTCCCTAATAATAATTAGATACCATATTTAACAATCTCACGATATAATGTGTCCGTAACAAGACACCATATTTATCATTTACATGATATAATGTAACATGTCCCTAATTAGATACCATACTTATAATTCACATGATAAAATGTGTCTCTAATTAGATACCATACTTATAATTCACATGATAAAATGTGTCCCTAATTAGACACCATACTCATAACATGTCCCTATTTAGACACCATACTCATAACATGTCCCTAATTAGACACCATACTTTATAATTAACATGATATAATGTAACATGTCCCAAATAAGATACCATTTTTATAATTTACATAAAATAATGTAACGTTGTATCCCTAATTTGACATCATTCATACAGTTTACAGCACATAATGATTTAAATACTCATACAGACACTATTATGGTCATATAACATGTTCAAAGTTTTATTACTGGAGTGCAGTATTTCATGAACAAACAGTCACCTTAGTAGAACCATCGATGTGCTATACCTCACATGAAAGAATGGAAAGTCCCTTGCAGGGTTCAAACTCACAGCAGTGAGTGGCGAAAGCTTCAAGGTCAGCTACCTGAACCATTCAGCCACAAAATAGTTATTAATCAGTAAACATTTCAATGAATAATACAGGAATATATTTGAGATCTTTGACTTCTCAAGCTGTGTTCAAGATCAAATATATAATTTTCAAAAATGAAAAGTATCAAGGCTTACTTTTCTTATTTTTCTTATGCCGGTCAATGTGATCTTTGAGCTGTATTCGGACCTGTCTCTCTGTCGGTTGATCACGTATAAATGGATGTTTTAATAGCTGTTCTGTGTTAGGTCGCTGTGTATAGTCCTTGAGTAAACATGTCTCAACAAAATTATGAAACCTAGATGACCTGTGAAGAAAATCAAAGGAGAAAATGTATTTAAAGCTATCAAAGTTTGCTGGATACAATAATATCATTCAAATCGTTCTTTTTCATGATATATAATTAGTATTTGGTGCAGCAAAATATAAATGGTTAGATAAATGCACTGACTCAAATCCATCCTAATATTTTATTTGATTTTTTAAGGTTTTGTTCCAGATCAAGGTTAATAAGCCCTAATTAACATGTATGCTTGCAGTTATATTGATATTTTTTCAAATAATGATGACACAGCAGAAAATACCCTCGCAATTGAATGTAAATGTACTAAAAATGGAAACACAAAATCTGACGGTGAAAGTGGCTTCAGATTGTTAAGTATTAAAATCACAGCAGTTACCTACATGCAAATCACTGGTAGACTGATCCTCTGAATAATACTGCCTTTTGGAAAATTATACACATTCTTGAGAATGGGAACCAGTTAGTAACACTAGGTATATGACGGATCAATTCAAAATTTCAAACTGACCAATGGTAGGGCTGTATTTTTAAACTAATATCAAACTATTCAGACTGCTTTCAAGTCCGTTTTTAAAATAAAAATATAATTTCAAGTTTTACAGCATAAAACTAATCAAGATCATCTTTTTCTTTTAAATATTCAGTAAGCTTTATACCATTTAGAAGACTTAAGTCTAGGTGGTGGATTCCTGGGTATAAGAAATAAGGCCCTCATTGGGTGCATATCACAGAGTGCTGAAATATAGAATACACATTAAACCATTTTGTTGATGAATTATAGAACTACATAAAATGAATCATGCATGATTTTTTCCCTATATTTTACAGCCAAGCACATGTTGTTTTCCCTTGTCAAAGAAATAAAATTCCTTTCCAATATTACTGATGTGTATGTAGCCTTAAATAATGCTCTGTCAACACTTAATAGTTGCAAGCTAGCTTGATATTTTTTGGCACATAAACAAAATTCCAATTTCAAAACATAAGGTTCATACAACCATGCTGTAAATCTAAACCATTAAACAAATGAACTTTTTTTTTTGCTATGTAAAGAGCTGCTCAGTTTTTCTTTGTCTTCAGTCATTGATATTGTCATGATCCAATAATTAAATAGCACTTACGAGGTTTGCCTTCAGCCATTTCAATAGAAGTTATACCTAGAGACCATAGATCACTCTGAAATACAAACATAAATATCTAAATATACAAGTACCTAAACACAAGCTATATTACATTAAATTACCTGTTTACTAAAAAGATTCCTTAGGACTTCTAAAAGTGTGAAATTAATTGAGATCCTACCTTCACTTAATTTTGCCAGAATATTTTTGCAAGAACTTATTTCCAGTAGGGTTCATACCTCAGCAAACTTCATAGACAGCTATGAGATACAAGGGAATCCGGGAACCAGTCCCTAGATCTTATTGAATAGATTTCTTGGTTCTTTTACATGCTCAGTGTATAGCACTGATACATGCGAGGATTACTTGAGTTTCATAGGTAAATGGGAAACACTGAAAGTGTCTCTGAAAATTCTGAAGGGTGTTACCCAGGATCGAACCTGGAACCTCAGGAGTGATTTTCAGTTGAATTCTTAGTATGTGTTAATGTAAAATGTATTAATTATCCTTTTCATATTTTTCAGTGTTACATGCCCTGGTTGATGTATATCAGATTTTTGAATTTTTTGTTTTCAGGCTTTTGGAGCTTGGTGGAGCTACTTTTATCATTACTGAAATCAATTAGACCTTTAATGGTTATGTATCAAGTAACTTGTTTTACATTGAAAACCTGTTTAAGGAAAACTCTGTAACTTACTCTATTATCATATGTGGCATCTGGATTCTCATCACAAGCTATAACTTCTGGTGCCATCCTGTAACATGATGTATCAAGATGTGTCTCTTTTACTTTTACAGACATGAATTATATGAGAACAGAATTAAACAGTTCTCTACAAACTCATCAAGTGATATTTTTTATTAAGTTTAGTGAAGATTTTGTGCATCTGCATCACCCACTTTATCAAATATTCACCAACATGTTAGTGTCCATTTAGATACTTTGTATGATTTGAATCCAGACACAATCAATCATCACAGCCAAGTACAGCTTCATATCTTTTAAATCATACTGAAAACTTGTCAAGGTCTCAATATAAAGACTATTCTTGCATAGCAGACTAGTGTTTCCGTGAGTTTTACGCATGCCGAAAATTTACTCTGACATAGGAGGTGCCAGATGAGTCTCGTGCCATACAACAACATCATTTTAGCGCATTTTATGAATGAACTGCGTTAAAATGACGTCATTTTAGAAGAGAACTATGTGCTTAGGATGACGTCATTACGCCATTGTATTAAAGTTGTTAATTCATATCCTTTTTGTAAGAAAAATAGTTATGGATGAAATGACTTTAATTTTCATAAACAAAAGGTTAAACATTTTAAATATGAAATAATATGGCAGAATATGCAAAAAAAATATCTGACATATGTTTGCGGTTCGGATCGGAATATCCGTCCATGTATGAAAGTATTACATAATTTAACTAACCAGTAAGGTGTTCCTATAAATGTATTACGTCTCCCTATTGTTTTATCTAGTTGAGCACTCACACCAAAGTCAACTGAAATAGAAAATAATAAATATACATTTAAAAGTAATCATAATCATGCTAAATTTCCACAACGCTAAATTTTGACAATGGACTTGTCCTACCTAAATTTAAAACAGTCCATTGTAAATGTGAGGGAGAATGTTGATCCTATAAAAGAAATCCTGATCATGCTAAATTTCCATGGTGGCTTGTCTTACCTGAACTTGGAAAAGACCCAATGTTAATATGAGGGGACATTAACCATAACTGAGTGTGTGTGTCATAATGTGTTCATTACAGCTTTCATAAGCACCTAGGTACCAGACCATATCCCCAGTATTTTGCTATTTAGTCAAGTTTCCAAGATGGTTGATATTCAGGCTGTATTTCCTCTGAATTTTTAACAAAATTGGATAAATGTTAAACATAAAAGTATACAGCACTGTAGCAGACGACAAATTTCCGAGCATGCAAAGCATTATAACCAAAGTTCTTACATCAGTCAGTATAGAGGCTTGTCTGACTGCACATATATGAAGGCTGCCTAGCTGTTTACTGGTAGTGGAGGCTAATCACTATAATCACTATCAGTTCCCGCCGAATATGAAGTGTTTTAAGCCTGAACATGCTGATTATTTTAATTGAACTTGTCCCACTTCCATTTTTGGGACTGTCCATTATCAATTTTAGGGACATCAATTTGAATTTTTATAGCTTGTCAGCCAACAGTATAGAGTCTGGTCAAGCTGCACAGATGTGCAGACTGGCCTGGCTCTATACTGGTGGCAAAGGCTCAAATCTTTCGGTTCCAGTACTTTAAGGGTTAATACAGGTAAGTCACTGATATAATTACCTAATTTGACTTCGGCATTATCTGTGAGAAGGACATTCTGTCCCTTTATATCTCTGTGTATCACACGATTAGCATGTAAATGTGCCAGGCCCTGGAAAATATACATGTGAATAAATAAAACTTATTCAACAATACCGTCAAGACCCTGGAAAATATAATGTGAATAAATAAAACTAATTCAACAATAGTCAAGGCCCTGGAAATTTAGTATACAACTAGTATACAGAAAATCATTCATGTTTGCTATTTAATTGACAAATAAATCTAGCAAAAAAAAACTATGATTTGTAACAAACATGATAATTTAACAAGAGCTGTCGGTAGGACAGCAACGCTCGACTATTCTAAGTGCTTGATAGTAAAAAAATGCTTGATACAGTTACCTCCTCCTGTTTACAGGTTGGGGTAATGATGGTGAACAAGTGTGCAAAGTTTCAAAGCCATATGTCAATGGACTTTGAAAATATTTTAACTATTACAAAAACTTTAACGTGAATTCTAAGTCAAAAAAGAGGCATAATTCTGTCAAAATGCTTGATAGAGTTACCTCCTCCTGTCTACAGGTTGGGATCAGGATGGTGAACAAGTGTGCAAAGTTTCAAAGCCATATGTCAATGTTTGGAAAATATTTGAACTATTACAAAAACTTTAACATAAATTCTAAGTCGAAAAAGGGGCATAATTCTGTCAAAATGCTTGATAGAGTTACCTCCTCCTGTCTACAGGTTGGGGTCATGATGGTGAACAAGTGTGCAAAGTTTCAAAGCCATATGTCAATGGACTTTGAAAATATTTTAACTATTACAAAAACTTTAACGTGAATTCTAAGTAAAAAAAGAATCATAATTCTGTCAAAATGCTTGATAGAGTTACCTCCTCCTGTCTACAGATTGGGGTCATGATGGTGAACAAGTGTGCAAAGTTTCAAAGCCATATGTCAATGGACTTGGAAAATATTTGAACTATTACAAAAACTTTAACATAAATTCTAAGTCAAAAAAGGGGCATAATTCTGTCAAAATGCTTGATAGAGTTACCTCCTCCTGTCTACAGGTTGGGGTCATGATGGTGAACAAGTGTGCAAAGTTTCAAAGCCATATGTCAATGGACTTTGAAAATATTTGAACTATTACAAAAACTTTAACGTAAATTCTAAGTCGAAAAAGGGGCATAATTCTGTCAAAATGCTTGATAGAGTTACCTCCTCCTGTCTACAGATTGGGGTCATGATGGTGAACAAGTGTGCAAAGTTTCAAAGCCATATGTCAATGGACTTTGAAAATATTTGAACTATTACAAAAACTTTAACATAAGTGGTTACGCCGAAGCCGACACTCGGGTGACTGCAATAGCTCTACTTATTCTTATCGAATAGTCGAGCTAATAAAAATTAAGTACAAGCTGATAAATGACATTTTAAAGAAATTGAGTTTTATATTCTGTAGATATTTACATTAAATTCTACAAGTTTCATGAAATAAATACCCTTAAAATTTCTCTGGCCACATAGGCAATCCATTCCTCTTTGAGGCAATTGCCTTTTGTTGCTGAAATAGAAAGTATTATGAGTTAAGTAAATGTGAAAGCTGAAAAACATTATCCTTTGACACATAATAGTAGACATTAGGGATGTCATCTGGAGCCATAATGGCCATCCGAATATCTGAATCAGACATCCGGATACATCCGGATGTTCGGATCATTGTTTTATTCTTAGTTTGCCGATATGGCAGCATGGCACTTACAATCAACATAATTTACAAGAAATAAGTTAAAATATGCAAAAATATTGCTTACTGCGTTCGTCACACAGTAGAAATATAGTGATAGATACTACACAATCAGTCATTAATTGCACACAACATGTAAATTCTTACTACATTTTTTTCAAGTATGATTTTCTCAAAATATTTTGTGCTCATCAGGCATGCAGCTTTAAGGCAGCACACTGCATTTTTTTAGTGATTGATAATGAAATAATTAAAGGCCGAAAAAGGATCAAAATCCTCTTGTCATAGATATAAAATAAAATCCTATCAATATTAACAATTATTATATAACTGTAAGTTTTTCAATAAACATACAGTCATTTTAAACTGAAGAAACACATGCATCTTAATAAAGTTTCCATATCCCACACCTTGTTTTGATGAAGTCTTGATGTTTCAAATATGTATTCACTTTCGCTTCATACTTCTTTCTTAAAGAAAACTAATTCTTTCAATTTAAACAATTTTTCTTTAAACTATACATAAGGGTTGTGATAAAATGAAAATTTCATGAGGGCGTGCTATTTTGGTGGGTTGCATTATTTAACATGATTGTGAAGTTTTATTTACACTCGCCCTGGCCTGACGGCTTGGGGAAATATAGCTTTACACAATTATGTTCAACAATACAGCACTCTAAAGGGGCACACTCATAGGCTATATCCTGTAAATGTATATAGATTTATAGAATGAACCTACCTTTGACGAGATCTGTCACAGATCCTGCCCCACAGTACTCCATCACCAACTAAAATATAAACCATAGTTATATAACATTAATTGTGCTTACTTTTTGTAATATTCTTGATCTATGTTGAACTTGGAATTGAAATATAACATTTTCAATATGTAAATGATAGCATTATCAAGATAATGATTAATAAGACAATGAAGATAAGATTAATTAGACAAAAAAGAAATACTTTACAAAATTTACAGTTTATATAAGTTTGTATAAGTTAATATAAACATTATAATTATCCAATGAAAATCGTGTCAAAAACTTGCAATATATTAAAAACTTCAGGTTTGGCCAATGTAATCAGCTATACAAACATAATTTTATTTATGTCAAATTTATAAAAGACAAGTAAACACAGATTTTCTGCAAGTGCTTTAAGAAGAAAAATATGTGTCAAAAAAGTGATTGTCATTTTTTTCAATATTTACCCAGAGTTGATCATCTTTGCCAGCTGGGCTTTTCTTTATAAAAGCTCCATAATATGTGGCGATATTCCGGTGGTGAGAATACTGAAAAATAGTATATATATGTAATGTATAATATCAGTGCATGCATATTATAGAATTCATAATTATACATATAATACAATGACTAAGATAAAAACCTATTTTTTCAAAATCATTCTGTACCCATAATTACGAGGTGTCACGTTTATCGGTTTAAACGGTACAATCGGATTTTAGCTAAAAACAGATTAGAAAATTCAATAACCGGTAACGGAAGTTAGTATTTGACTTAAAGGGGCGGTAAAGTTTTAAATTGATTCTAAAAAATTACCTTAGTTTTTTATGACAAGATATGACAATTGTTTGTATTTTAGTTGTATTCAACAATGTATTTTTTCCGATCTGATCCAATATGGTACGACCCTAGCAGAAAATAGTTACTTCATATTCGGATATGTATTGTAATCATCTTGAGTTAAACAAAATATGAACAAAATGGCATATCTTGTAATAAAGAAATGAAGTTAGTGTTGAAAATCTAAAGATTTTATTAGTACCGTCGGTGAAACGTTAAACATGGTTATTACGTCCCAGTTTAAATGGTCAGCATTTTTTCTAACCGTGACACCCCTACCCATAATAGTGATGAACCCTTTGCAACCAGTATAGAGACTAGCAGGCCTGGTCCATCAGTGCATACTGACAAGGCTGCATACTGTTGGTAGCTTTACTCTTGGTTTGTTTTTTTTTGTTTAATATTGAAATACCTAAACTGGGATATTCTAAATTCAAAGCAGGATAAGTCCTTTACACAATTACAGCAGGATATGGGTGCATGTTCCCTATTTACATTGTATTAAATATGTAAACAAGGAAAAGAAGAGGCACAAAATGTCAAGAACAATAGAGTAGTTTTAAGTTGTTTGTCGATCATCTTCATCAGGAAAATATCAATCATTTGTATACTTTTCCTACATATTATATTTTTTTTCGAAATTGTGCTCTTCACCTGCTATAAATCATATTTCTGATACTTAAACAGTGTGCCTATGAAATACAGTTGTAACATTTTACATAACAATGGGATTTTTTGACTGAAATACAGTTGTAACATTTTACATAACAATGGGATTTTTTGACTGAAATACAGTTGTAACATTTTACATAACCATAGGATTTTTTGACTGAAATACAGTTGTAACATTTTACAAAACCATGGGATTTTTTGACTGAAATACAGTTGTAACATTTTACATAACCATAGGATTTTTTGACTGAAATACAGTTGTAACATTTTACAAAACCATGGGATTTTTGACTTACAGACTGGCCATGTTTTTGAAGTCTGAACTTATGACTGGACATCCAAGATATTACACTGTACATACAGTATCTGTCGTCGTATTTCACACATTGACCAAGTGAAATATAGTTATACATGTACATCATTTACTTCATACACATTTATTTTACTTTAACCATGATCGGGTTTGAACCTATGCAGCATGGAGATCCTAGGATTATTTGTCTGGCTTGTTTACCACTTGGTCATGCTGCCACCCTTCATATCATAACAGAAATACTGAATGTATGTCACTGAACACCACTCAGTGTGGAAACGAATTGCTTTTATAAATCAGAATAAAGTTACACAATACAATGTGATGTTGTTATTTATGAATTATATTGCATATTGAAAATACTTTCCTTCAAGTGAGATATTTTCTATATTTCACCTTAGTAATGGAAAGATTCATGTCCAAACAACTGAGTGATAAACATGTACACAATCATAACATATTACCAGGTATTTTGTGTACAAAGGTATACATGTACTTGCAATGGTAAAATTAATATAATCTATAATTCCAACTTTATCCAAAGACTAATTTATTACATTTTTTTACATGTTAGAGGTTATTTAAACTTAAAGTCTAACTATTCAAACAAATCAGGTAACTTCACTTTGAACATTTTAATATAAATATGCTATACAAAACATGCAACAACTTACTTAACTCTTGACCTGCTGTAACCAAAAGTGATCAGCCTCTGCCACCAGTATAGAGCCAGGTCAGCCTGCACATCCGTGCAGTCTGACCAGGCTCTATACTGTTGCCAGCTCAATCTTTGTATTTTGATATTGAAATCCCTTGAACTTTGAATGGACTGTCTCAAATTCAAAGCTCGACAGATCCATTATAGAAATATAGCAGGTTAAGGGTTAACAATCGATCATAAAGCTACACTAGCATTTAAAGAACATTTTGAAGACATTAATTTATAGGTTCAGATGTACCTTTTTCAAGACATTGATTTCTAATTTGATTTCTTCTTCCTCTTCTTCAGTGACGTTCATCACCTTGATGGCTGCCAGCTGACCTGTCTTTGTATGACTACCCTGAAACACAGCAATAAAACATTTATAATTACTACCCTCAAACTTGCTTAATTAACTCAGTAAAACCAATAATGACTACCCTGAAACACAACAATAAAACATTTATACTTACTACCCTCAAACTTGCTTAATTAACTCAGTAAAATCATTAATGACTACCCTGAAACACAGAAATATATATTTATACGTACTACCCTCAAACTTGCTTAATTTAACTAATTAAATTAACTCAGTAAAATTATTAATGACTACCGTAAATATATATATTATGACAACGGCATCAGAGTATCAGTCTTTGTTGCCTTGGTCAACAGCTTTGTGTTAATATGTGCAAAACTGTAAGTCATAATTTTTAATCCAAAAGATGACCAGATTTTATCAAATGCAAAATCTTTATCTTAGATTGACCAATTTAAAATGTTTGTAAAACTCTTTTTTACATCACTTATTACAATAGTGGACATACATATATATCAAAAACATAAAATGATTTTTCTATAATACTACAGACTGGATCATTATCCTGAATGTTTAAACTGCATTAACGGTTGAAATGTCAGTTTAACATTATTTACAACAATGACTATGCACAGAAAAAACTTGTTTTCCGATAATGAATATCTTATTTCAAGTACATTTAATTTACCACTTAAAAATTTATAAAATATGGCTACTATTTTGGATATGTATTATCTAGTCAAACATTATGCATAGTTTCACATGTAGGTTTAAGGTAACAGAATAGAACATCAACCATTTCTAAATGACCTGGATAACTCCTTCAAAATAGAAGAATTGTTCTATTCAAAATATACTATTATTACAGACTCAAAGGGAAATACTCCAAGTCAATGATTTTTACTTGCATGAATGTTGCCATATTGTAGGATCAAAGCCAATTCCCTCCCCCACCAACCCCCAGGGATGAATACACTCTTGTTTAATAATGACATGGTGGATAAAAGTCCCCCACCCCTTTTTATTTGTTTTTGTTAGCCCCTGTCAATTCTACTGTTTTTTTGTTGTTGTTGTTTTTTTGTTGTTGTTTTTTTTGGGGGGAGAGGGGGTGATAGTGATAGTATTTTAACTGGTGACAGGGAAACTGGGGGTGGAGTGACGGATCTTTCATGCAATTCCTATTTTGCCATGGAGGGGAAAAGTAGAATTATTTTTGATAAATCTAACCATTTTATATTCAGTTATTTACAAGAGGTTAACATTTTATTTAGTCATATAATCAAACCACTGATTTATCTGTCAGCTGAATGCATTTAAATTCCTTCCCTAAACATACCTGTATCTACAATATCAATCAGTTTGCACTAAAAGAATATCAGTCTGTTGTTGTTGTTTATTTTTGCTGTTAACCACAGTTATTTAAAGTAAGTAGATAAAATACCATAAGTAAATTAAGGGTTTACAGTGATTATAATTATGTATATAGTATTGCAGTAAATTAGATATTGAATAAATTGATATAATGATTTACTATGTCTGTTAAGACAGCATGCTCCTCAATCGTGTTATTTAACAAAAAAATTGTTTTAATGAGTTTTAATGAGTAAAAACATTTTTTTTAAGACAAGTGTTACATTATAAGAGAGATCTATTTAGAAATTTAACTTAAGTACCTACTAACCTTAATTATTTGTTAATAAAAATATCTTTCTATCGTTTGATTTGGAGCATCTGTGACAAGAGTGGTAAAGGTCTTGATTCCAAACCACTTGCCCCTCACCCCTGTTGGTTCAAATCCTGACAGGGACTTTGAATTCTTTCATGTGAGGAAGCCATTTAGCCAGCTTATGGAATAATGCACGAAAGAGCACCTGAGGTCTTCCTTTACCAGTAAAACTGTAAAGTGGCCTTATGACCTATGTGTGACGTTAAACTCAATAACAAAAACAACAACAAAATTAAGTTTGATTTTTTAAGAACTTTTTTTACTTGTGTGGTGATGAGCTGCTTTAAGGGTGTCAAGCTATAGCTAGAAAAAATACTGTCATGTTCAAACTTTGATTTCTATATCTAGGAAGTTAAAAAAAAATGTCTTCTGTTATTCATGCACATGGATGAGATAACAAAACATAGTAAAACGTCCTCTTACAAAATACTGGTAAACTACTGTTTTTTTTTTTTTCAAGATTTATAGCCATCATTTCAGCCATTGGCCACCTGTTTTAAACATCTTTCCTTCACTAAAGGTACTTTGGTATGATTTTTAAAAAGAATTATTTTTTTTAAAGATTACCGTACATACAGCTCCCTATAACTTAATTAGCCTTAATATACCCTTCAAATTCATTCTTTGTCAAGTAATGTTTGTTAATCATGTTTAAAGTAAGTACTTTGATGTACGTCTGACATAGAACTTTGATAGACTAACTATGTCTTATACTTGAAACTAACAGCAATGATAGACTACAAGTAATATCAGACAACATAGCAGCATAGTTTAGATTAGTAGGAAGTCACACCAACAGTGTCAAGATCATGCATACAGTGACTTTCAAGATTTATTCATGGGCACAGAAGAATGAAGACTGTAAGTACACCTTTACCCATTATTTCAGGCACACAGTGACACTTGAGTACAACCAATGATCTTCTGTAAGGTGGCTGGATAGCTTAGTTATATAATCATGTAAGGATCTGAAGTCTACAATGAGATTCAAACCCATAGTGGTGTAAGTGATTAGAAGTCAATTGCCTTCACAACTAGGCCACAGAGGACCCCTACAAAGCAACACAGGCTGACTAGACTTTACACTATTGATATATTGTATTGTTTCCAATTAAGGCCCCCATCCTTTCTAATTAGGGCTCCCCCACCACATTTTGTAGAAAGAAAAAATATAACCTTAATATAGATATATTAATTATAATGAAAGAGCACTCCAAAAAAATTCAAAATATAACAATATGGTAGGTTACAAAGATCATTCATTTACAACATTACTCATTAGTGCTCTAGACTTAGAAAGCAAGAAAACAAAAGCAACAATGCTCTTCACAAGGCTGTTATTTCAGTAGTTGTCTGTGGTTAACCATTAATTATTTATTTAATATGCAATAAGTAAAACATTCAAGACACAATTATGAGTGCATTCAACCTGAATCTTAACCCATGACAGACCTATTTCAAGTCATTATAAATTTTCTAAATACTAGCCATGTTAATAACAACTAGCTTATGACATCATTGAGTCAGACCAGTCTGATCCGAGTGACACTTTAGGTTGCTTAACCACCATATCATGATAATGAAACCCTATAAAAGTAACAGTACTTCATTCTTGAAAGCCATTAAACCCAAAATCAAAACTATGAAAGTCAATATATTAATTTTCTAAGAAAAAAACCTTTAACAACTTTCACTTAATTTCTGAAGTACATAAAAACATTGAATAAGATAATTATAATGTATCCAAAAATAAACCACATATTAAATTGTTAACTTTTCTCTCCTTTTTTGGGGTCATATGTTTTGACAGGTTATATGACCGTATATAAATGGTTGTTTGCAATATAACCCTAACTGCTATTCCACTGTTTATCTAGGGCCATATAACCTATCAAAAATCTTTATAACTAATGATATAAAATTAACAGCAATGATATAAGTAAAACACACAAATACACAAAGTAACCTGATTTTACAGTAAAATACTGAAAAAACAATTATTTATTACTAAACTTCCCCTCTCATGAGAAAAAATAACTGTTTCTTATGTACTTTTAAGTGCAAACTTATGCTAACAAAGTTAAACTATAACATATATATGAGTCATCAGAGTAACTATACATCAGTACAATATGAATGATCTCTGTGGGAAAAAAAACAACAATGTTAACAGTACACACTGGGGTATTATACTATATTATATTAAAGTTATACCCTAACATATACCATTTGGATGTAAATTTATTGCCAGGTGAGAAAGAGGACAGGGGAAAAAGTTTGACTGTACCCAGGGTCATTCTTTCAATTTTCTTTCTTAAAATTTTGTTTTTTAAGCTTTTTATACCTCAAAGGAGTTCCTTTAAAATTAAACAGTTATCTTTTTTGGCATAATCATAAAAAGTACAATTTACCTATAAATCCTACACACAGCATGACTTGCAGATTTGATATAAAAAAAATCTTTTTTTTTCTTCAACAGCAAAGAGATAGCATATCTGTGTCATATTTGACATAGATATTATAAAATCTGTTCACATCTGGAGAAACTATGTAGGTATTATTTCTATAAGAACTTTCTGCCAAAAACCATTACTGATAGTGCGATAGATTTACATTAAATTTTCCCTGTCTGACTACTGTTTCAATCATCACCTTGTACCACTGAACACAACAAAATGAGGATCAGTAGACGTTCATGAACTTTTTCAAGATATAATATCATATATATGCAGTTAAACAAGTATATTATACACTGCTGAGATATTCTTTTCCTAAATGATAAACAAGAGGGCCATGATGGCCCGTATATCGCTCACCTGATTATTTAGGCTCTTATTCAATTAATATCATTAGCAATGAATGAAAAGCAGATAAAATGTAGTAATCTTAAACTGATATTATTTTAACATATCTCCACCTGAAGTGCAAATGTAAACATGCTTTTTCCATATCTGGGCTGTCACCTAGTTTTTTACCCCAGATGACCTATTTTCGAACTTGACCTATAAATCATGTAAACAACCTTCCTAACAAATTTCCAAGATATTTGGGCTGAAAATATCATGTTTATAGTGTTAACAAGGTTTTTACATATTTGGGCTGTGTAGCCTAATTTTTGACCCCAGATGACCCATTTTCAAAGTTGCGCTAGAAATCAATTTTACAACCTTAATCGCTCACCAAAGGATATAGCCTACATGGACAAGATTTAATTACATGGGCATTACTATCAATTCAGTTTTATCAAAATCATCAAAGGGGTAGAGCAGACATCATTTCAGCTTGATTCCATTTTAAGAACCACCTAAAGATCATTCATGTAGATATTCATTATATAATCTGAAGCATGGTTGAAGAGGAGATGACACTAAAATTTTAAGGGTTCTGGCTGCAATCTTGTTCAGCAAACTACATTAAGAATTATCTGAGCAATTTTAGTAACACGGGGGATGAACTGTTACACGAGGGATGGAGTTCTTATGATAACTTGTCAGGAGTTCTTGTGATAACTGTCAAGGAGTTCCTCGGAAAAGTTTTGTTTATACTACAGTAACACTCGTCATATGTCATTTTCATCTTTAAAAATGAGTTTTAGGTGCTAAATTTAGCTTGCCTTACATCTTGTATTATTTGTCAAATACTAATTTATAGTCGATTTTTCAGCGCCTCTTGTTTAAAATCTGTTAGTTTTGAGTAAAATTTCCCAATTATTTGCTAATTCGCACATATTGACCTGTTCATTTGTGATTTTCAACCTTGCCATACATAATTACCTAATTATAATGCAAAGTTGCAAACATAAAGCCCCGGCATAAAACTTTATGTTCAATTTTTCAAATGTCCTGGAGTTTTTGTGATTATTAGCAAATAATTTGGAAACTCATCCGAGCAATTACCGAGACAAGCATCCTGACAAAGATTGATGACAATTGAGTCAAAAATGTGACCAATAAAGTGTTAACAAGGTTTTTCCATATTTGGGCTGTGTGACCTAGTTTTTGACCCCAGGTGACCCATATTCAAATTTGACCTAGAAATCATCAAAACAAACTTTCAGACCAATTTCCAGAATATGTGGATCAAAACAGTAGCCACTAGAGTGTTAACAAGATTTTTCTATTTTTTAACTCCCGTGACCTAGTTTTTCATCCGAGATGACCCATGTTCAAACTCATCCGAGCAATTACCAAGACCAGCATCCTGGCAAAGTTTAATGATGATTGAGGCAAAAATGTGACCACTAGAGTGTTAACGAACAAATGTGGATGAACGACAGACATTAAACAATCCTAAAAGCTCACCCTGAGCTAAAAATTTCCGCCCCCCTTCAAACCCCCGGAAGAGAATGGGGCACATCCTCCTTCTGGCAAGCCCCTGATGTACCTTTTTGAAAGGGGGGGGGCACCGAAATAGGGATCACCTTTTATCCGAAAAACAGTGTTTGGGGCCTAAATAGGGCATTTTTTCACTGTTTGAGGCATAAAAAGGGGGGCGGGTGTGAAAAGCCGTCAAAACACGTCTATATGAGGTAAAGGGTTAAAACAATAAAGAATCATACATATAATAATCAAGATTGCCCGTTTTGTTAAAAGTAATGGGGTTACATCATCTTACAATGTATGTTCGAAAGCACTTTTTTAATACCAATTTAATATCAATGAGATTGAATGTCATTTTATGTCAGGGAAATGATCTAACCTTGTATACTTGTCCATAGGTTCCATTTCCTACCACTTCTATCAAATCAAAAATGCCTGCAGGATCCTGAAAAAATAAAAATGTAAAGTTTTTTTTTATTTGGCAATTTAGTAAACAGGTGTTGGGTAGTAATTTTGTCCTTAATTATTGAAGATGATTTAGATGAATATTAAACAATCTGTGTAAAGGCTTAGATCTTCTATGTTTACATGTAGATTTGACACTTTCAATCAGCCAATCAGTGGCCGCTGCCAATCAGTGGCCGCTTCATAGAAATGGATCACTTTCAGCTTTAACTGTTGGGAAACCAGAAACAATTTTCAAGATTATCAGATATTACAGTTGAAGCTGGCAACGCCCACACTTTTTACATAAATTACCTAGAATCAAAACTTAGATACCAAAAATGGTAAAACCTTATGTTTCGTAGAATATATTCCAAATATCTACTTAGTGTGTGTGTTTTTTAAAGCAAAATTGTTGACTTGTCTGCATGCTCATGACCTCACAGATGTCCTAAAATTATTCTGTGGAAAGTTCGCTAAAAGTAACCTTAAATCCTAGTTGGCTAGGAGAAAATGAGTAACTGGCAATCAGATCTACACATAAACATAAGAAGATATGAACTTTAGTCAGACAGGATATTTCACACTTTTAGAAACAAACAAATTCATGAGCGAGATGTCTTCATCCGCAATATATTTTTATAGGACATAAATTGGACCTTGAAAGGTCAGACTAGACAAGCCTTTGTTTTTTGTTTCCCTCCTGTGACAAATTACAATGTGAATGTTTAACTTATTGTTTAGTAACTAAATGCATTCTGAAGTTAAATGAATCTTACAATGAAAACTTTAAACATAAACCTAGAAAATTGGTATAGGGAGGGCACTTCATGTAAAATTATTTTTTGTGAAAAACAGCATGATGTCAAAGACCTGTCCAGCAGGAGACAGTAAATGACCCAAATTTGCTTTAAAAGCAAAAAAATCATGATTTCAAAACAAGCTCAATTGGGATAAATGTAGAAACAAGCAGAAGGGATAATCAGATAAATCATAAAGTGTCTATTATGTGTTATAATTGTCTAATTAATAATGCCAGCCATGGTTATTTTCCCCTTGTAATTTTAACAGCCGAATTAAAGGCTTGTTCCTCCAACCTGGCACGCCAAAAAGTAGGATTTTCCCACTAAAAATGCTAAACTTTTTCCCTAAATTCCCTGAACTGCCTGTGCTATCTATTTTTTCACATAGAGAAGCAATTGACAATACTATGTAGTCAGTTAGAAGACAGAAAAAAATGATCCACTAAATTAATAAGTCTACTTATGATGTAAAATTTGAACAAAAGAATTCAGTTGAAAATTTTATAAATTTCATTACCTCAATTGATTTTGTAAATTTGAATTTTCCCTAGCTTTTTCCCTCGATTTCTAAACACGCTGGAGTTGTGCTATTTACCCCTTCAGAAAGCCCTGGTTGCCCTGTCTTGAAAATTGAGAAGAAAAACAGAAATCCAGCACTGGAAATATATGGCGCGCAAAGGCCACTATTATAAAGTCACGAATTGGATAATAGACTAATTATGTGCGACATAACAGTGTAAGTCCTTGAGTGGATTTTTCGCAAAAACAATAATTTAGTGTATCACTTTCTGATATCCGAATCTAGTACCACCAATTGGAGGGCATTTCGAGCTTGCAGCAAGTGCATCATTCGAACCTGGGCACTGCCACAGAAGCTGGATTGGTCTAGCCTACATGGCTGTTGGCTGACAAACGTTAAAAATTCAAATTGAAGGCCCTAAAATTGATTATGGACAGTCCCAAAAATGGAAGTGGGACAAGTCCATAAAAAAATTAAAATATTCTGCATGTTCAGGGTTAAGACTGAGCTTGTTTAGCAGTCTAAATAAATCAGTGACATATTTGGCAGAGACCAAGATACTTTTGTTTTAGTAAAAAAAAATAGCATAAAACTCACAAACATTTAGTTATCATAGTCAAAACATATTTCACTACTGACATTTTACCCCACCCACTTAAATCCCATGTTGATTTCTTTGTTGTGCATTTCTACCAGCTGATTTCTTTCAAAAAATTGACCCATTTGAGATCACAGACTTCATAAGGATCGTACCTTTAAATCGCACCGACAATGCCATTTATTTTTTACCACTTGAAATTCAACATATTATTATCATTTTACGTAACTTACTCTCAGTCTTGACAGGTCAATATCGTCCAAACTAACATTCACACTCTGGGTCGCCATTTTGTGTCAAATCAAAACATCGAAAGTTTGCACTCTTCCTGTATCGAAAGCTCCGATATCTTCCGTAGATCGGCGTTGGTGATTTAAAATTCTTGGTCCGAATTACGCGGAAGACACATCTTTATAAACATAATTCATTAAATAAGTGCAAATATGCTGAAAAACACGTTAAAATTGCATCGAAATGTGTGATACTTTCGCCTATTTCTCATGCATTAACAGCGACTCCTGTGCATTATGGGCCTTCAAGGGAAGTAACTCAATCAAATTATCTGACTCAGCAACCGCAGAGGAGTGTCCATAAAACACAATGTCCCACAGTACAGCAGATATTTTAATTTTAATAAAATAAAAACATTTTGAATAGTTCATCACGCATTTTATTTTCATTGTGTCTTGAACACTAGCTCCAAACTGAATAATCCCACGTGAGCTTCATATGTGCTACTGCGATCCATATGTGATATTATAAAAAAATAAATTAAAAAAAAACAAAACAAAACAAAAAACAACAAAAGACATTGATCCACAAAAGTCCTTCGCAACTGCGATGATAACTGTCTGATAACACTTGACTGATAATTATTTTTGATAGTAGGTTAGTAACCTGATATCAAAAATAAGCTCCCCCCATTTTCAATAGCTTATATTAGCCTTTGAATTCAACAATTTTATCGTATATCCTGACAAGTCTATATATTATTTTTATTTCGTTTTTAATTATGAACAGATCAGGTAGCGAATAGTTAAGTTTTAAGCACCAATTTAATGAAGTGACGTCAGAATTTATTTTGCAAATGACATCATCGATATTCACGTCATATTATTTCGATAAACATAACAAACAGGCCAGGCGATTTTCTTGGAGAACTTGTAAATATTTACTATGTGCCAGATTGTTATATAAATAAGTGATCAGCAAATTGTTACGTGCATGTTTTGATGTTTGACTTTGAAACTGAAATTATGCCTGGCACTGAATGTTTGACTTTGACATGTCAAGGAAAAAAGTTTGAAACAGCTTACCTTGATAACTTAAAAGTTATCAGAAAATGTTAATGTTTTTTTTTTCAAAAATGGGCGGAACACACATTCTGTGAACCACTATCCCTAATTTGGTCCAAGTTGTAAGATAATGCAGCAGTTTTATTTATTAAATTAAAGCAACAAAGGTTGAATCAGGTTCCGCTTAAATATTTATTTTTTCATTAATCAACACTCATTTCTGTAGCATCAAGGCTAAGGGACATAGATTATAATTATATTTGCTGTTTGAAGTATATCCCTGAAGAAAGAAGTTATGTTTAGAGTAAAAAAAATGTATTCTAAGCTTTAGGGGAGATAATTCTAGAAATATTGATGCTAGAGTCCAATTGAATTTTTCTTGAAACAATGCAGTTTTCCTTATGTACACCAGCTGATTTTCTACCCAAAGTGGAAATTTTAGCAATAATTTTCACCTAAATCTAAGGCCCCTTTCCTATTAAGTGAGAAAAATTACTTGAGTCCCATATTATGTGAGTGATGATAAGGAACATATATTTGAAGTTAAAAGTTAAAGAAATGAAAAATCACAGTAAAATGCATACTTCGATTCTACTAAACAGATTAGTAAATATCTAATTCGATCCGAGAGTTACATACTGCACTGGTATTAAACATTTGATTATCTCGATTTGATAAAATGGAAGCTGTTTACATATGCAACTTTGTCTTAGCTAAATTGCAAACTGTATTTAGAAATTTGCGACATGTAGAAATGTTAACAAACACGTTTAATGCTGTGCATCATGACGTTTCAAGAGTGTAACTGCACAAGTTAACACTCTCAGGCTGACAAGACCACACTTTACATTCTAACTTGGCTAACATTTGTAAACGATTTTGCAACTTCCATATATGGAATTATCACGGAAATAGACGAAAATTAATAGGTGGAGCCAATTTTCACGAAAGCAGAATATAAAGAGAGGTAACACAAACATTACAAATTATAGAAAAATGTTATAAATTTCACATGCATCAACTGCATTACAGTTGACTTTGAATATCCTCTGATTTTGTTAAAACGTATTCTAGCACAGTTATTAATGTAATGCAAAATTGGTTAATATATATACTATACTGATAATGAGCATACATGTATATAATATTATTCAAAAACTAAAGTTGGTGAATTAACATAAGGAGTATTTTTCTCTATTTTTTCTAGAAAATGTGATATCTACAACGTTTCAAAACTTATATGCCTATAATCATTTAAAGTCCGCTGATGTTGATTGAATAAAGGCATATAATGGCAATTTTGCAAGTGAATTATGTTTGTTGAATAACTAAACACATAAGAGATGAGCAAACGGAAACTACGCCGGTGCGTGTTCTTGTTTCCTTCTTGTCGCTGACGGTAAATACCGAAAAATACGTTTTTTTACGATGATGTAGTGGGTGGGAAAATGGGCGGAGCTTATTTTATCTCCTATTGAAAAACGTGTAAAGCAGGATTATGCTGATCCGAATCATGATGGTTTGACAATGTAAAGCTGAGAAAGTATAACTTCTGTTTTGTCGGCGTATATACGAACAATGAGTATTCCGCATGATATGATGAACAAACAGTTAATGTTTTGTCGTTTAACAAAATGTATTTTGTTGAAATATATGTTTACAATGTTAAATCGGCAAACTCAATCCAAGAATGCAACATTGGAGTTTACATACAAAGAAATACAATAATTATTAACAAACTGTTCAACTCAGATCAACAAGGCTAGATTTTTGGCAACGAATAGCCTCCATACACCTGATGCACCATTCTCACACCTGTAGCATCAGCCAAATATAATGGATATTTACTTTTTATATGCCCGAAACATTTTCGGGCATATCATGTTTTACCCCCTGGCTTCCGTCCGTCTGTCCGTACGAACCCAGAGTTCTTGTGTGACCTGGAGAACAATGGGTAACAGTAAATTCTCGTTGATCCTATTCATTCCGTTTTTACTTGTGTGTCTTTTTTTAAGCCTTGTGTGACTAAAAATGGCCAAAAGATCCAAGAAAAAGTCACATAAGTACCATTTTGTGAGTACGTCCGTCCGTCCGTCTGTCCGTCAGTTAGCAATTTGGTTTCCGGAGCATAACTTAAGTTCCATTTGGCCCAAAATATTCAAAGTTCATAGGATGATTGTCCATATTGGGTAGAAGACCCCTATTGATTTTGGGGTCACAAGGTCAAAGGTCAAGGTCACTATGACCTTAAAACTGAAAACAGTTTCCGAAACATAACTTAATCCCATTTGGCCCACAGTGTTCAAACTTCATAGGATGATTGTCCATATTGGGTAGAAGACCCCTATTGATTTTAGGATCAGAAGGTCAAAGTCACTATGACCTTAAAACTGAAAACAGTTTCCGGAGCATAACTTAAGTCCCATTTGGCCCACAGTGTTCAAACTTCATAGGATTATTGTCCATATTGGGTAAAAGACCCCTATTGATTTTGGGGTCACAAGGTCAAAGGTCAATGTCACTATTACCTTAAAACTGAAAACAGTTTCTGGATCATAACTTAAGTTCCATTTGGCCCACAGTGTTTAATCATCATAGGATGATTGTCTATATTGGGTAGAAGACCCCTAGTGATTTTGAGGTCACAAGGTCAAAGGTCAAGGTCACTTTTCTTTTAAAACTGAAAACAGTTTCCGGAGCATAACTTAAGTTCCATTCGGCCCACAGTGTTCAAACTTCAAAGGATGATTGTCCATATTAGGTAAAATACCCCTATTGATTTTGGGATCACAAGGTCAAAAGTTAAGGTCACTATTACCTTAAAACTGAAAACAGTTTCCGGGGCATTACTTAAGTTCCATTTGGACCACAATATTCAAACTTCATAGGGGGATTGTTATTTGAAGGAGGTAATACTTTATTTAATTCCAATGTCTTACAATGCTTCATCTTTACTAAAAAAATCACTTTCGGGCATATAATGCTCCGCCTAGCGGTGCTCTTGTTAGACTGAAGCAGTTATCAATTATAATCAATCTAATCTTACCTAATTTGATATGTATAATGTTTTTTATATGTAAAATGAAACATTTTTTTATCAAATTGTAGTTATGCATTTAACTATCTCGAGATACATTATGTTGAACTAAGAAAATATACACGTACGCTAACATAGATGCCATGCGGAAATACGGATTTGGTTTTGGAAAAAAAAGATCTACAGAAATTTTAGAAATCACCATAAAACAGAACCACCCACTTTGATTTCCCCCAATTATGCGATCACAATTACAGAACCAGATATCGCACATTTGAATTTGCGATCATAATTACAGAACCGGAAATCGCTCATTTAAATTTGCGAACACTATTACAGAACCGGAAATCGCACATTTAAATAATTATGCGATCACAATTACAGAACCGAAAATCGCACACAAATGTGCAAAAGGTGTACGTTGGGCTGCTGTGATACAGTTTCCAAAAAGTTACTGATTAGCCAATTGGCTGAGTCATCTTTGACTTATGTTGCTTTTTTGACAATTAATAGAAATTAACGATCATTAAGTGTTTTGTATGAAAGTCAAGGTAATACTTATATTTTGTTACTTTTAGGGCAAACAATTTTAAACTCGGGGTGATAAGCACGTTACATGCTTTAAAACCAATAACTCCTAGCTGTCAAAACACCTCAGTTGTTGCTGTGGCATGATACCTCTCTAATAGTACACTACTAAATCGGAACGTCCTCGGCTATTTTCTATAATAACTTCGGAGATAATATGGCTTGAAAGTAGTTTCTTCCACGTGAATTCAGATGTAAACAGGAACAGAGAGTGTAATCTTAGATAATGTAAAACGAATGTATATATTTGACATTCAAAGGACAATAAAGTCTGTATCGGTACACGTATGATTGAAAATATGTCTTACAACCATTTTTAATTTAAATATGCCCACTGATGTACAATTTTAAACAAATCCGACTCTTTGTCAACAGGTTGGCATTTTGAAAAAGGGAACCACCATTATTTGGCTAAACTATCATACAAAATTCGTCTGTGAAAAACTGAAATGAATGCTTTTGCATGTCGGCTTATCAGTTATCAAGCCAGTTCGAAAAGTGTGATAATTTATTGTAGCAGCAACACCTTTTTATATGTACATAATTATTTAGTTTTATTAAAGTGAATTGATATAGATCACCTTTTGGCATATAATAACACATGAATGGTGATATGTCCGGATCTGC